AACACCTGCCTCACCAGCCGAATCAGCCTCCTACACCCGCTCACAATCACCTGATTACTAATCACGGACACCTGCACACACTTACCACACCAGTCAAATACACACTCACCTCAGTCACTCGTCGGCTGGTCTCAAGGTTACAAGCATCTCTGTACGGGTTCCTTGCCTCCCTATCCACCTGTCAAGCCTCGGACTCCTCAGTTCTCTGCCGAAGGACCAAAGTGCTGACCCCAGATAAGACTGTGTTCTCTGCTTCCATTAATTCCTAAGTTTGATTCTTTTCTGTTGGAAGCTGCTCCTCAGTTCCTTTTTATAAACTCCCCGACTTACGTTAACCTGTCTGTTTGCCTCTTTGTCCCGGATGTGACACAAATAATGTTCCTCAAAGAACAGTTTTGCAACTTTTCAATAATTGTATCTTTAATGGTTCAGTAAAGACCTCTGATGATACTGTTTGGTACCTTTCAAGGTACAACTGAAATGAAGGTACATAAAAGTTCTCTCGTCAAAGGTACAAATTTACTGTTTCATGCATGATTGGTTGCTGTTTTAACTATTAGGCATAGCAACAAGACTCTGATTGGTCGAAATCGCTGCGGCCGTTACATAATTTTCAAACAGAACAGAGAGCGGGAAGCAGACTACTTTTGCCCTTTAATTAATTTATTAGTATTAAATTATCTCGACTACATGTACAATATGGCGTTTGCTCAACACTGCCCATTGTAACTTAAATATCAACGGTTAACTATTAGGCATGGCAACACAAGACTTGACGGGCCGAAGTCGCAGCAGCCGTTAACGGAATTTTCAAACAGCGGAGAGCGGGAAGCAGTGTGCCCGTCTAGCGCCAGCACAACCAGTACTTCAGCTTCTTTATCGTCTGAGAGGAACTTCATAAGCTAAAGAGAGGCTTGACTCGAATTATCAGACGAAGAAAGGAAGGGATAGCACAGCTTTTTTGAGCTTTTCTTGTAAGTAGTAAGTTACATATACAACAAGTCTGCGTCCTCAGCTGTGAAGCAAGTATCAGTACAAAAATGAGTAAAATTTAAATGTAAATACATTTAAATTTTCCTACTAACATTAAAATGAATAGATACTAACATAGTCTTCTGTGGTCTGTGACACAAACACATCTGAGATTTAATTTGTTTCATGAGCTTTACACTAAAGAAACAAGTCATTCACATTAAATATGATAGAGTCTTGCAGTGAAATATTGTCATTACATATGTGTATTTTGCATTTATATGCAGGTGAAGACTGTGTCTACTGTTGGGGAGGATGCTATTTCATGCCCATGTGAAGACTTTGCAGGACCAGAAGACAACCAGTTAGTCTCTTTTGCTGACAATAATGTTCCTCAAAGAACAGTTTTGCAACTTTTCAATAATTGTATCTTTAATGGTTCAGTAAAGACCTCTGATGATACTGTTTGGTACCTTTCAAGGTACAACTGAAATGAAGGTACATAAAAGTTCTCATGTCAAAGGTACAAATTTACTGTTTCATGCATGATTGGTTGCTGTTTTAACTATTAGGCATAGCAACAAGACTGATTGGTCGAAATCGCTGCGGCCGTTACATAATTTTCAAACAGAACAGAGAGCGGGAAGCAGACTACTTTTGCCCTTTTATCAACAGAAAAGCTCTTTGAGAATGGATAGTAAGTGTTAATCTTGAAGACGATGATATTTAAAGGTGAGTTTTGACAATTTATGTTGATATTAAGTTCACAAGTCGAAAATGTAAATGTTTCAGCTACTCAATGTGAAATTAATGGCTTAAATTCGTTCATGGAGCTATGAGCTCAATGGTTTTAGCCATTTGTATAACGTTACATTTAAAAAAAAAATTAATTAATTTATTAGTATTAAATTATCTCGACTACATGTACAATATGGCGTTTGCTCAACACTGCCCATTGTAACTTAAATATCAACGGTTAACTATTAGGCATGGCAACACAAGACTTGACGGGCCGAAGTCGCAGCAGCCGTTAACGGAATTTTCAAACAGCGGAGAGCGGGAAGCAGTGCGCCCGTCTAGCGCCAGCACAACCAGGACTTCAGCTTCTTTATCGTCAGAGGAACTTCATAAGCTAAAGAGAGGCTTGACTCGGATTATCTGATGAAGAGAGGAGGAAATTCAAAGGTGAGTTTTATGCTTGCTTTTAACTGAATAAAAAAATGATAACACCGTGTCTACACTGGACGCGACAAAGCGACTGTGTCATTTGAACTTTGTGTCAGTACGTCATAAATAGAACACGGCAGCAGTTTACTGTCGGGGAGTGAATAGTGGTTGCTTTAGTTGCCTCTTGACCCTTGACTTTCAAATTTAAGTTTTTCTTTGGCTGTTACAATTGTGTATATTAAACACATATGTGATGGCAAAATACTTATGATAAAATCATGCCATGTTTCTGATTACAATTTTGCTAAAACTGTAGTGCTGTTGTGATTTCTGTATTGTTGCAGTTATATGAGATAACAATGTGGGAAAAACCTTCATAAATGACTTTTATAAATATGGTTCCTAAAGAGATTTCTATTCTGGCACTCATAGACATGAAGAATCAGCATGTGAATCTCAGCAATGGTGGCAAAATATTCTGATAATTTTTATGTAATTTTTGAACGTGACAAAACAAGGCAGTTAAAAAGTCACAACAAAAAATAACAAAAATAAAAGCAAATAGTCAAAATGAAAGAAAATACTAAGACAATGCAGCTGCATAATTTATTCATGTCGCAATGCATGCTGGGAGCCATGGATGAGTTATGATTGGTGCACCCAGAATGCAATGCAACATGAATCTGTCTGATGATTGTCACCATTGTTGAGATTCATATACTGATCCTTGATGTCGGCGTGTCTAAACAGTACAGATGTTCTAAACTATTGTGCAAAGTGTTATTAAAGCTCTTCATATTATTTCATTTAAATGCAGTTGTGACCAATAACGATATGACTCATTACCATTGATGACATCACTGATCCTTGCTTCAACATGACAACTATGTAATTACCAAAGTAACAGCCAATATAATCAAAACACAGTTCCGCCTGGTTTTCTCACCATAACCAATGTGCTTCATAAACATATATACAGCAACCAGAGAACAACTAATGTTAAAAAGTCAAGGGTCAAGAGCCCAACTAAAGCACATGCATATCTCCACAACGGTGACTTCAAATTTTATTATTTTCAATAAACATTAACATCTAAATCTCTGTTAATTCTTAATAAGAAATTTTTAGATGCATGACAAACAACAATTCTAACTGGTTAGTAATGTGTGAAGCTGGTGATGCTGTTTGTGGAGTTGTTCAATCATCTTCTGCTGAGATCTTGAGAGATTTAATGTCTTTTATTATTTCAGTTGATTTCATCTAAGACTGTGGCTGAAGTCAGTTGTAATTCTTGTGTTTCTCTTTTCTTCAGTGATTCTGCTTGTTAACAGCAGCTGTTCATCACTAATGCTCAATCAGCACTTAATTAATCACTTAATTATCTCATTAACTTTAACACTGCTTCAGTGTTACTTTAACACTCTTTTAGAGTGGGACCATATATGCTCCAAGCAGTGTTCATTTAACACTCTGGATTTTACTGTGTAGGTTGTACTGCTCTTCTACCCCCAGGGGCCCAATAGCGCTCCCTGGAAGAGCCAAAAAATGCACATTTCAAATGGCTGTAAATCAGAGTCCAATTAACGTATCAAAGAGAAAATCGCCAGGATTACTGCTTATGCTATGTTGATAAAATAATGCTGGGCACAGTTTTCAGAAATATATGGAAAGGTGGCATAAAGGCATTTTAAATATTGCTCACTGTAAAATACCAAATTTCAGCCTGCCTCTCAAATATATCATAGAGGTTTGCACAATTAACATATTTAGATATCCAGTTTTCCATTAAAGATATTATGTCATTTCGTTAATAAAAAGTTTTAAACTACATTACCCATAAGCCTCTGTCATTCTATCGATGGAATGGGAAAACTTGACGCTGTTATTTGTAGTTCATTGAAGTTATGCTTAGGGTTAGGGTTAGGATCTCGCTAAAGGGGTAATTTCTCTCAACATAGCAACATTTCATTGTTGACTTAATATATTACTAACATGATAATATCAGCAAAACATACTTTTGTAACATGATGCTCTGTTTAATATGGGCTAAAAGATAGTCCAACCACAGACAGTCTTGCGAGTGACAAGGGAAATTCACAGCCAATGACATCCCAGCTGAGCAGCGGCGTCACACTTCCTTTTCCATTTATGGTCATTTATGACAGATGTCTTCCGTTTTTCGGCTGAAGGGATAGATTCGGTTAACAATAAATTAAATGTGCTACCTATTAGATTGTGTTTTATTAACATCTACACCTACCCCTTACAATAATGCAAATACAGTAATTATTGTTGTTCAGCGTGACAAAAATTGGGCAATATTGTTGTGTGCAAGATTCCTCTCATTAAATATAAAAGATAGATTTTATTTTATTTTATTTTTTTGACCAAAGACAAGTGCATTTACTAATCAAATGATGTGCTTCTAACATTTACATTGTAAATTACATTGTGTTTTAAAGTTATACAATCTGTCATTCTATCGATGGAATGGGAAAACTTGACGCTGTTATTTGTAGTTCATTGAAGTTATGCTTAGGGTTAGGGTTAGGATCTCGCTAAAGGGGTAATTTCTCTCAACATAGCAACACTTCATTGTTGACTTAATATATTACTAACATGATAATATCAGCAAAACATACTTTTGTAACATGATGCACTGTTTAATATGGGTTAAAAGACAGTCCAACCACAGACAGTCCTGCGGGTGACAAGGGAAATTCACAGCCAATGACATCACAGCTGAGCAGCGGCATCACACTTCCTTTTCCATTTATGGTCATTTATGACAGATGTCTTCCGTTTTTCGGCTGAAGGGATAGATTCGGTTAACAATAAATTAAATGTGCTACCTATTAGATTGTGTTTTATTAACATCTACACCTACCCCTTACAATAATGCAAATACAGTAATTATTGTTGTTCAGCGTGACAAAAATTGGGCAATATTGTTGTGTGCAAGATTCCTCTCATTAAATATAAAAGATAGATTTTATTTTATTTTATTTTTTTGACCAAAGACAAGTGCATTTACTAATCAAATGATGTGCTTCTAACATTTACATTGTAAATTACATTGTGTTTTAAAGTTATACAATTATTCACTTTTGTGTTTCTGTGATTTGCCATTCTCTACGATTTGAACTCTAGGAATAAAAACTGAAAGAAAAATAAATAAATAAATAACAAAGAAAGCATAATGAACATGCATAGTTTTGTAAGCATTTCCCAGTATTTATTAATATGTCAAACTCATTTAAAGACAAACAAAGTGCCCAAATTACTGCACTGCATCCTCTGTCACCAAGCTCGTTTTTGCCACTATGAAGAATAAAAAAGCAGTTACGTTGTAAACTTTAACTATTTTCAGTATGAAAAAATGCTTTTATTGAAAAACAAAACAGTAAATACAGTATATGTCTTTCAGAGAACACTGGAAACAGATTAATTTTCTTAAAAATTAAATTGACCACGTTTTTCGGCTGAAGGGATAGATTCGGTTAACAATAAATTAAATGTGCTACCTATTAGATTGTGTTTTATTAACATCTACACCTACCCCTTACAATAATGCAAATACAGTAATTATTGTTGTTCAGCGTGACAAAAATTGGGCAATATTGTTGTGTGCAAGATTCCTCTCATTAAATATAAAAGATAGATTTTATTTTATTTTATTTTTTTGACCAAAGACAAGTGCATTTACTAATCAAATGATGTGCTTCTAACATTTACATTGTAAATTACATTGTGTTTTAAAGTTATACAATTATTCACTTTTGTGTTTCTGTGATTTGCCATTCTCTACGATTTGAACTCTAGGAATAAAAACTGAAAGAAAAATAAATAAATAAATAACAAAGAAAGCATAATGAACATGCATAGTTTTGTAAGCATTTCCCAGTATTTATTAATATGTCAAACTCATTTAAAGACAAACAAAGTGCCCAAATTACTGCACTGCATCCTCTGTCACCAAGCTCGTTTTTGCCACTATGAAGAATAAAAAAGCAGTTACGTTGTAAACTTTAACTATTTTCAGTATGAAAAAATGCTTTTATTGAAAAACAAAACAGTAAATACAGTATATGTCTTTCAGAGAACACTGGAAACAGATTTTCTTAAAAATGTTATTGACCAAAAAGTGATACAACACATGATGTAATTCAAACTCACAAAATAACACCATGAAGACACGCATGTCAAGTGTGCAATATCATCTATAAAACTATATCAGCACAGCACCAAATAAACATTGATTGTCCGAACAATGAAAGATAGAGAAAGTGTTCAGGAAAACAAACATCTGCTACATACAAACGCAGAAATATACTTTTGACAATAGCATCATGAATTCACTGCATGACTGGAACTAGGGGATGGCTGTGCATGAATATGTCCTTTACTAAAACTCCTGATGAGAACTGATGCTTTTTAGGATAAAAACATTAGGAAGACACCAAGTAAAGTTTACTGTATGAAGCTTGAAAAATAGAACACAATGCTTTATCAATACGAAAAAGACTATTTTTAACTATTGTTTTCATTACTGGTTCTGTATACAGTATATGGGTTGCTGGAAGGTCAAAATGTATTCATTATAAGCTTATAATTAAAACAAAGTTGCATCTTCTGCAAAAAAAAAACAAACCACTGCAAAGTCTTAACACTGATCCAGGTACCATTTCTGTATGTGTGGGGGATTATACTTTTGACAATAGCATCATGAATTCACTGCATGACTGGAACTAGGGGATGGCTGTGCATGAATATGTCCTTTACTAAAACTCCTGATGAGAACTGATGCTTTTTAGGATAAAAAAACATTAGGAAGACGCCAAGTAAAGTTTACTGTATGAAGCTTGAAAAATAGAACACAATGCTTTATCAATACGAAAAAGACTATTTTTAACTATTGTTTTCATTACTGGTTCTGTATACAGTATATGGGTTGCTGGAAGGTCAAAATGTATTCATTATAAGCTTATAATTAAAACAAAGTTGCATCTTCTGCAAAAAAAAATAAATAATAAAAACTCTGCAAAGTCTTAACACTGATCCAGGTACCATTTCTGTATGTGTGGGGGATAAAGAGTTAAAGAGGTGAGTCCTTGTGCATGATGGAGAAGGACAGCGTTATCTGCAAGTAATCATGTAAGACAGAAAGAAAGGAAATATTATTATATTACATGCAACTTGTTGATTTATACATTACTGTGGGTTTTGCAGCCTCTGTAAAGATGCTGTATAATTAAATGTTAATTGCATCCATTATTAAAAGCAAGTCATTAATAGCAAGCTATATTCATATAAATTATTTTAAACATGATTACATGCTAACAGGACCAAGTGTGTCTGTCTGCGGACTGCAAGACAGGGGCGTAACTTGAACAAGGAGGCGTAACTTGAAGTTGTCCAAATCACACAGAACCACGCGAGAAGTCAAAACGAGATGTTGTCGGGCTGCGTTCGAAACCGCATACTTTCTAAGTTATAAGCACTTAATTTCTTTAAGTACTTACTTACCGAGCGCAGGGATGTAATATAACACTAATAAGCCATTATGATTGTTAATTGTTAGATACAACCATCTTTCCCTGATCTTTTATGTAATTATAAGTTCGGCAATAATAATAATAAAAAAGAGGGACAGGTGCACTAACACCTCATAGCATCGCTAACTCAATCTAGTAAGGTTTTCCTCAGCGTTTGCAATGTCTGCACAAAGGATACGTCGGGCAGCTGCTCGAAGATCTCGCCTTTGGAGAAGACTGTTGATTTTATACTTTAAACATTAAGATTACCCCAGAATGAATTGCATCGTTTGCCCACCCCAACACTTACATGCAATAATAATGATAAATGCTAATAATTACTTTTTTTTTTTTAACTTAAAATGAAAAAATATATACTTTTTTGTCGTGACATAGCTATACATAAATATACACTAGTTGAACAAATGCAGTCGATGTGAATACATTAATTTTCAGTCAAGCAATTAATACATTAATTAATAAAATATTTATATTTTATTTACTGACAACAATAAACATGAATAAATGAGTAAAGGAATGAATAAAAGTAAGCATCACAATAAATACATATACAAGTCAACAACAGATGAAACAAAGCTTAATTCAAACTTATTGTTTTAACAATCATGTATTTACAGATGGTGAATCCCACATCCTACTGCCATCTCAACACAGCTGAGACAGTTCTGCTGCTGCGCTGTGCTTCACAATCTCGCTCTTCTCAATGGGGACATCGTTGAGCAAGAGGATGAGGAAGACCATGATGACGGCTCTCTGAAACACACAACCTAGAAGCAAGAGCAGGGGCACACATGTGGGACAATCTGGCTGCCACTGTATCTGCTCCAAACATCTGTGTGCTGCTTTCCATGAGCACGACTAGCTGTAACACATTTAAACGGAGTTAAACATTTTACAGTTCATGTTGTCAGCTTTCCATTTCTTGCCAAATTTCATGTTTACAATTACATGCATTTTTTGTTGTAGCTTTATTACTTTTGTAGTGGGCTAAACCACTGAACTGGTGAGCAGAAAGTTGCTGGTTCAAAACCACCAGTATGTCCCTGAGCAATCCAGGTTGTTCCAGGGGATTGTAGGTCCCTGTAATAAGAGCACTGTAAATCACTTTGGATAAAAGCTTCATGACATTTTTTGATGATGCTTTTGAAGCTTCTGAAAGTCAGCCTTCATTGTATGAACAGAAACCAGCAGAACAAACTTGACCAAACTCACATCCTCTTTTGGTCATCTCTAGATGCTCTCGCTGACTCTGGGGTCACTGAGGATGAAGAGACCACAGCAGCATCCGGTCCAGATGAGACAGTAAGAGGTGGAGTGATGGAGCATCTCATCCATGGCACTGGACCATTTCCAGGATGCTGCTGTGGACTTCTCCATCCTCACTACTCACAGCAGTCTGCAGACATTTCAGATCCTGCAAAGATGCACAAACACAATACAAAATCAGTAATTTTAACAGCATAATGTCATCTGATTTCTGTACTGGAAGTAACAAAAGTATCTTATTTATATTTTTGTTGCAGGTTTTCCCTTTTTTTCACAAATGCCGCCGTCACCTTGCCTTGCAGATCCTGCTCCACCACAAAAGCTCTGCAGCAAATGCACAGGTAATTGTCTTTAAGATGTATATATGGTTCATGTAAATCCACTTTTGAGACGTATGTGTACTTAATGGAGCTCCCCTGTTAGTTGTGCATTATAAAACGTGTTTTTACAGCAAAATCACAAATATTATGTAGGTCACAGACAGGGTTTAGATTAAGCCGGGATTAGGCCATAGTTCAATTAGGACATTTAAGTAGCTTTTATAAACGTGCCTTGGATAAAAACACTACTGATGTGCATCTTGAGACAAAAAAAAAATATTTTAAGATCAGCCAGTTCAAGTTGCTTTCAGTTAAAACAGCCCAGACATGCATTTTAGTCTGGGACTAGTCTTGACCAGCCTTGTCTGTGAAACCGGGGGATAGCGTCTTTACACCTTTTGCTTATATATTGCTTACTTTACACCTTAGTTTTAATAGATTATTAACTCAATAAACAATACCACTGTATGAAAATAACTTACACACTTAAATTTGAACGGTTATTTCGGAACAAAAAAAATTCTCACCGTTGTCTCTATACAAGCGGCCATCTTGCCAACAACATGTCGTTTTGACATCTCGCGTGGTTCTGTGTGATTTGGACAACTTCAAGTTACGCCTCCTTGTTCAAGATACGCCCCCTTCAAGTTACGTCCCTGTCTTGCAGTCCGCAGACAGACACACTTGGGACTCGGGGGCGGCCTGCAGCGTCAGATCTGGAGCTGTGAACCGCTGAGGGACGCCCCGAGTCTCAGGAAGCATCCTGTTCTTATTACCAAAGCCATCGAGACACATCTGGGCCGAGCTGATTAATCTGGTCCCATGAGTTCTCACGGCTCTCTGTGGAGCTTAATGTGCCACCAGGTTGCTTTTAGTAAGACAGTTACTCGCTGTACTGAACCATCATCCAAAACAACAGAAAAAAAACAACAGAGAAGTGGCACACATCCACACATGCTACATATTTAAATAAAAAACGTTGTGATACATTGCAAATATACAAATGCACAATTACTACATAAATATTAGACACAAAGCATAATTAAGCAAATTCATTAAGTAGCTTAATTCATTTTAGCACAAATTTAGCACTGTATTGACAAATGGGCATCCATGACCAGATTTTTGTATAAACTATATGTATCAGTTACATCAATGTATTATGTTTTAGATTCCCAGATTGTGAACTTTAATATTCATGACAATTCTCACTATTAGCTATGACTTTTCCCTCAGTAAACTAATTTGCTGCTTATAAATAGTTAGTAAGGTAGTTGTTAAGTTTAGGTACACAGTAAAATCCATGCTCGGAGCATATATGGTCCCACTCTAAAAGAGTGTTAAAGTAACACTGAAGCAGTGTTAAAGTTAATGAGATAATTATGTGATTAATTAAGTGCTGATTGAGCATTAGTGATGAACAGCTGCTGTTAACAAGCAGAATCACTGAAGAAAAGAGAAACACAAGAACTACAACTGACTTCAGCCACAGTCTTATGCCGAGTTCACACTGCACGATTTTCAGACTCGTCGGATCGCGGTTGTTTTCACACTGCGTGACTATCTGAGGTAGCATTCAGTTGCTGCTGTGTTCACATTGCACGATGGATCGGCGACAGGGGGGTTCACATTGCATGACTTCACAATAGGAAGAATCGCCGACAGCTCTGT